AGTGTCTGTGCATGGCTGTTATGTCTCTGACTCCCCACAGGGGGGCAATGTTTATGTATGACCCTTATGTTCCCCATGTCGTCTTGGTCCAGATCTCCCCCCAAAATGCATGAGCTCCCTGCTCCGAATGCACATCCCCCGGGGTCAGAGACCCGACATGGAGGAGCTGGAGGAGGTCACAGGAGTGGAGGGCCTGGAGGACATGAAAGAGTTAATGAAGAGATGTTGGCACAATGACAGCTGGCAAAGACCCACTTTTAAAGGTAAAGTCCATTCCCGTGCGGTCAGTGCTGACGGGGGCGCTGTGCTGCAGGAGTGGGTCAGGGGCTCAGTAGGGGGTACCAGGCTGCACAGAGTGGGTCAGCGGCTCTATATGGGGCGCTCTCCCCTGGCAGTCTGTGCTGACCCCAATGCCCCAGCACTAGGTGGCGCCGTACTGCAGTGGAATCCCTCACCCCTCCTGTCTTTCTCCTGCAGACTGCAGCAACAAGACAGAGAAGATTTTTTCCTGCCACAAGTCCCGGATCGTGCTGGCTGTGCGTCAGGTGCAGGATGTGCTGGTAAGGCACAGCCGGCTGTGGTTCTGATTCCATCCTCTGCAGCACCACATCTGGCCACTAGATGGCAACACCATTCTAGCAGAATATGACATCCAGGGCTGAAATAGCCCCAATTCCAAGCCAGACCCAGGGGCCGAGAATAAATCTCCCATCTCCCAACACAGGATTTAAGCAATTCAATCCCTGCTATTCTCACCAGCTGCCACAAGGGGGTAGTGCTGCATCAGAAGAGAAATCAGACTATCTCACTATCTCCATACACATCTGTCTGTCTGTCTAATCTATCTATCCCCCATACACCCCATCATCCATCCATCTATCTATCTATCTCCAGGCACATCCATCCATCCATCTATATAGATAGATGGATAAATAGATGGGTGTGTAAGGGGATAAATAGACGGATAGATGGGTGTGTATGTGGATAGATAGATATCCCCATACACACCCATCTATCTATCTATCTATCCAGACCTGACCCCCAAATTGTCACCCCAGATGATGATGGCCAGTTCTCCCAGCGATGAGTCCAGACCATCAGTAAGCGTCCCTACACCTGCTGCGGCTGAGAGCTCCCATCGCCACACCTTTCCTCCATCTTCCCTCCGGGTCTCAGAGCAATTCCAGACACTTCGCTATGAGGATCGTCCATCCAGAGAAAACGGTAAGTGGGGTTCCCATCCCCCTGCCAAGCCATCTGCATCAGGCACCAGCTGGGAAAATTCTGGGTATCGAGGGAGTCTACTCTGGTGTCATGACAGGAAATCCCACCTCCAAGATAAAAGGGCAGGAATTCCCGCCTCCAGCAGGTCCATAGATGGACTTCCATGTCGGCTATGACTGTGAGAAGTCTCATCTCTGATGTAACAAAGCAGGAAGTCCCACCTCAAGAGTGGCAACCCCAGAAGTCCTGTCTCTGATGTGGCACGAGGCGACATAGGAAGTCCCACCCAAAAAGGTGGCTGTGGGGGAAGATTCGTCTCCAGTGTGGCAAGGCATGAGTGCTTCTTCCAGTGTCACAGGACAGGAAGATCCACCCAAAATGGTGGCATTAGGGGAAGTCCTGCCTCCGGACTTACTGGGCAGGAAGTTGTGTTTCCAGTGTAGCAGAATAGGCTAAATGGTGAAAATGGAGGAAGTCCCGCCTCCAGAGTGACATGACAGAAAATCCTGCCTCCAGTGTAGCAGGACAGGAAATGTCAATACAGGAAGTCCTGCCTCCAGAGTGGTGAGACTTCCTGAGCTGGCTGTTGTGGCTAATTTCCCTGCCTGAGGGGTTCTGGGATGTTCAGAGAAAGGGGGTAGAAGGGGAGAGGGGTGCACGGGCTCCCCGTAAGCTGGCAGTGACCCAGTGGGGGTGTCTTTATGTCCCTCAGAAGCTGTGCTCCAGAGAAACATAAGGCAAACGGAGCATCAGCAAGGACCTGGTACCCCTCCGCCCTGCAATGTCAGCATGGGTCCCAGGCAGGTAAATGTCTGCCATCGCTCCCTCCCTGGGGTGGGCTCAGCATTTGCCTGCTAAGCAGGGTCACATCTGGGTTGGGGCTTGGGTGGGAGACCCAGGGGGCAGCAAGGGGTGCACGTGTTCTCCTTTCGCAGTCAGTGCTGGCACCAGCGCCCAAGTATGGGATCAGGGGGCGCAGTGCCGCAGGGAGCCGGGTGGGGGCACCACCCCTTGCAGTCAGTGCTAGCCCTAATGCCCAGGGCTAGCCCTAATGCCCAGGGCTAGCTACACGTCAACACTGGGCAAGCAATCTCCAGGCAGTACTGCTTTGTGGCTGTTACGCAGCCTGTGCGCTCCACCCCAGAGGGGCCGCATCTCGGTGCCAGGTGAGGGGTTCCCATAGAACCAGCCCCTGTTCCTCTCACTACAGGGGCCCCGTCTCTGCACTGGGCGAGGGGTTCCCATATGAACAGCTCCCATACCCCACCCCAGAAGGGCCACATCTCAGTGCCGGGCAAAGGGTCCCTGTAAATTATATCTGTAGGAATCTAGTGATACTGAGCATCCAGGATCCATGTGATTCTCTCTTCTCTTTCAAGGGAGCAGAAGGACCCAATAATGGAGAATTTGGCTTCCCCAAGACAATCCCATCACAGTTGAGACACCCAGGTACCATGGGGCAGATCCAGGAGGAGGGGAGGCAAGGCGAGGCCGGGCTGGAGGACTGAGGGGGCATTCCAGGAGGAGGGGGTCAGACCTTAGATGGGATGTTACCCCCACCCCCCATTGTGGTACCCTTTTTCACCACAAGGTGGCAGCTTTTCACTACCATTAATACAGGATGAGGGACAGAGACCAATACTAAGAAACTTCCCTTTAAGAGCCACTTGAAGGAAAAGTGTGGATGACATTTGGCATCAGGCAGTGAGAAACTTCACCCTTAAAGGGGAAGGTCCACAGTTCAGAATGGGTCCCCGGGTTTGACATCGAGAAACTCCCCTTTAAGAGAAAGTGAAAGGAAAAGTGTTCATGAAGACCAAAGTCTGGCAGTGAAGAACTCTGCTCTTAAAGGGAAAGTGTCCATGAGCGATAGTCTGGCAGTGAGACACTGCTCTTAAAGGGGAAGTTTCCATGAGGCATCAACTCTAGCAGAGAGAAACTCCGCCCTTAAAGAGAAAGCGTTCACAAGGGCAGTGAATAAGTGGGAGTGTATCAGGGATGGCTAAGAGGATGCAGCTTGGTGGGAATAGCGTCTGGCAGTGAAAAATCCCAACCTCAAAGGGGAAGTGCTCATGAACCCTAATTTTTCTTTCCCACCAGACAATCAGCCGAGGCCCTTCTTCCCCAGCCAGTCCCAACCACACCTCCCCACCCAGGGGCCGGATCAACCCATGTTCCCATTCTGGCAACCGGTGAGGGGGTGCCCCCACCCTGGGAAGGGGGAGGGGTTGGGTATGCAGGGAAATAGGGAGAAGAGGGGGATATAGGGGCTCGTGGGATCAGGATGGGGGGCTGTAGGGGTGGAGCTGGAGGGGGTGCTGGAAGGGAGTGAGGGAGGGGTCGGGAGGGGGATCTACAGAGGGGGAAAGCAGGGGAGGGGGATGTAAGAGGATGGTGTGGGGGAGGGAGCTATGGGCAGATGAAAGGGAGGAGGACGGGTATAAGGGATGGGAACTGTGGAATGGAGAGGATGGATCATGGGGATAATGGCACAGAGGGAAGGGGTCTCTAAAGAGCAGGGTCTCCATTCCCGTCCCAGCTGATTAACCCATTCCCCTCCCCCATCTATCTTTCAGTCTCCGCAACCTGTCCATGGGTTCTCAGGTGAGCCCCCCCGCACTCTGGACAGCTGCAATGTACCTGGCTGGCTTCTAGGTGGCGCCTGCTCACTCATAAATGAGCACTAAGATTCCAGGGGGCCCAGATATTTGGGGTAGGGGTAGGGGTCTCTCCTGTTTGCCCCCAGAACAATTCTGTGGTTTTAAGCGTCTGAGAGAGAAAAAGAGAGAATACATCCATCCATGCTTCCCCATACACACACATTGATCTACCTCATCTGTCTATCCATCCATCCTTCCCCATACACACCCATCCATCTCATCTGTCTGTCCATCCATCTCTCCGTCCCCATACACACCCATCCATCCATCTCATCTCATCTATCCATCCATCCTCCTCCATACACACCCATTCATCTCATCTGTCTGTCCATCCGTCTGTCCCCATACACGCCCATCCATCCATCTCATCTCATCTCATCTATCCATCCTTCCTTCCCCATACACGCCCATCCATCCATCTCATCTGATCTGTCCATCCATCCTTCTCCATACACACCCATCCATCTCATCTGTCTGTCTGTCCATCCATCCGTCCTTCCCCATACACATCCACCCATCCAGCCGTCCGTCCCCATACACCCATCCATCCATCTCATCTCTTGGTCCATCCATCCATCC